CTAACCGGGAGAAGCTGACTGCAATGACGCCAATGGTGGTGAAGACAACAACTCCCATGATCCCACGCTTCTTCACCACCTCATCTAAATTTATATTTTCTAATTGTTTGGATATGAGAGAGCCCCTAGTGGCAGAAATTACAGACTGTATGTTTAAGTTAAAAAAAAAAACTCCAGAAAAATGAATGTTTAAACGCAGTAACGACTGATCCAAAACTATTTAAAACAGCGTCAGTAGGAAGAGACAGGAGGAGGGAGAGGGACTGAAAGAAAGGAAGGAGATTGAGAGAGAATAAAGGGAAGACAAAAAGAGACAGAGAAAGATGGAATAGGAGAGAGATGGAAAGAAGAAAGAAAGGCAGAGTGAAGAAAGAGGGGTGATACGAGAGGAAACAGTAGAGAGCGAATGAGATTGAGGCTTTACAACATTGAAATGCCAAGAGAAAAGAGAGAAAGAGGAAACAGATGGAGAGACAAACAAGGGAGAAGGAGGGAAGGATGTAGAGTTTTCTTCTGTATTGGTTGATGCCACGTGTGTCTGAATAGACAACTGTCTAACACACACACACACACACACACACACAGTTGTTTTGGCTGGCCTGACTGTGAACTGTGTGTTTGGCATGCGAAGAGTGTGAACAAAATGAACTGGTAATGGGTGACAGGCTTTGAGACAAGATGAAGTGGAACCCACAAGAAACAAGGACAAAGGATGTAATTTCTTGTGTCCTTTGAGAAATACTAAGAAAAATCAAGTCTTAAGTCAATTAAGACATTAAGTCCAAGTCACATCTCAAATCCAAGAGGAGTCCAAGTAGTACAAGTCTCCTGAAGTTGCAAGTCATAAGACAAGTCTTTGAATGTTGACCGTTTAAGACATTTGATCTGGTATTTAAACATTTCACTTTCAAGGTCATTAATAAACTGTTTTTTAAGTGTAACTGGGATGAACTAATTTCAATACTGTTTAATGGTACCAGCGCAAAACAAAAAATATATTTTTTTTTTAGGGAGGCAGTCACGCCTACTGTAAGTCCAAGTCCACAAGTCCAACTTTAGTCCATTTTTCAAGCCTTCAGTTCTGCTCCCAGATGATGACAGAGATGAAGAGATACAGAGTGGCTACATCTTTTTTTCCGTGATGGAGACACAGCTGGTGGAAGCCTCTGTGTACCTCTGCAGCTGTGTTAACACATCATTCATTCATCGTACTCAGTAATTAAAATGAGTCTGATTAGTGACTGTGAGCGTGTGTGTGTGTGTGTGTGTATGTGCACGCCTCTCCAGTGATGAATGTGCTCTAATTTGGGAAGTGAGCTCTGTTCAGTCTATAAATGAGCTTCTTTTTGTTCATATTTAACTATTCAGACTCGGCATCCCCATTTCCCCCCGGCACACACTTGCTTCTACAATATTGATTATGTTGCCAAATTAAGCTCCGTAGATTAATGTTTAAAAAGATTTCCCCATTCTGATTTTTGGATGGTTTCCACAATTAACAAATGTATAGTCTTTTGAAGATGTCTGTGCTGCTACTTTTCAGAAAACTCAAGCTTCTACTGCTGAAAAATGGCTGATGAACAGTGTGTTTAACTGACTGCTGACGGGAATCGAAAGGGGGCCGTTTGAATCTGGTTTTAATAAAAGAAATAAGCTGTTTTCAGTCCTGTTGTCTTACTTTTTACAGGCTCCATGTTGGGTGCAGCGGCTGAGCGGCACTCTGATGACACAGCTGGTGAAGGCTACGAACAAAGCATGATGGTCTTTATCCAGCTCCAGTCCCAGAACCCTCCTGTCCTCCTGACCCTGAACATTACACCTGGACACAGACAGACAGCAGATTATATGAACATGGATATTAAAAGGTTTGGTGGTAGCAGCAGTAGTATTCAGAAGGGTGAGTCCTACAATATTCCACTCAGGTCTTACTTGGACGGGTTGTAGACGTCAATGTCCTCCAGTAGTTTGGATCCAAAGCTGTCGTTGGGATGCGTGCTGGCCAAAACTTTGAGGACTCTGCCGTCGTCTGAGCCCAGGAACATCACAGTCCGGTCCTTGTAGGGACCGGCCGAAACATCCACCACGATCTGGGTCAGCTTGGACCTGGGAGTGACAAGAAAAGACGTTCGGTGAGAAACTATAAAATCTATAATTTCCTGTTGCGAAGAGAGTTTGGCTTTATGTCTAATGTCAACCAAGTGTCAAAGACCACTACAATAAAAAACAAATCCTATTCCTCGTTATTATCCATATTATCATCGACAGTAAACCTGTCATATCTTTATAAAATGTGTAATGTTCCCCTGGGAACTAAAATCACATCAATCTATTGCAAAATCTGAAGAGAAATAATTGATGATTCTAATTTATTTGCAAATAACCCAACAGCAACCCATCATTGTTCTGTTTAAAGGGTTGGATGAACTTCTGTATATATTATTCATTTACAAGGCTCGAGTGGTGTTTTCTCATTGGAGACTTTTGAGCTTTATAATCTGATGTTTTCTGTTTTTATGTGGCAGCACAGTGCATATGACCCGCCCTACTCTGATTGGCTAGTACTCCTTGCCTTTGTTGGTTAGGGCATCAGGAGAAAGATTGGTTCAGATATTAAGGTAAGGGTGGGTCAAGAGTTTGCTATCGTGGAGAAAAATGGTGAACGGGATGCTGTCAGGACGTAGCTGGATCCCATTTCAGGGCAAATAAATTACCTGATATCAGATCGGTACAAAGACTTGCATACTCTCCGATACCCAATCCTGCATTTTAGGTTATATCGGAGGTATTTACGACACTGGTGTCAGTATCAGAATAATATAAACCCTGATTTGAACTTCGAAAACAGATTGAGATTGAGAGCATTTTTAATCCTTGCTGATAGGCATGAAGGGTAGCTTCAAATAAATAACTCAAAAAACAGGCAGAAATCTGTCTACCTGGGCTTAGGGCTAGTGTTTGTCGGTTTAGGGCATGCAGGCAATAACTTATTGTACTTATGTACATGGAGGACATTAACAGCTGTCCATGACAACAGACTGCTCTGACTGTCCCAGACTCGTATTATATAACAAAGTGAGTGGATCGTTGCAGCCCCTTGGACATCGACATTATCATTATCTAGGTCAGCTCGGGCCCTTCCAGAGCGGAGGCTAATTCGAACGTGGAATTAAGAGTCTTATTCCTATTCCAGGCTGGTAATTAGACTCCATCAGAAACTCATTTGAAACCTGCAGACGCAGATTATAAAAGGTCAGAGATTTTCAGAGCGTCAAGGCAGAGACAGAGAGAGGGAGAGAGACGTTCCTGTGAGCTAACGACTAATCAAAGCTGATACCAATGATTATCCTATGTCGCTTCAGGTCGGGATGGTGGATTCGCTGCCCCTCAGAGCAGCTGTAACTTTAAAACTTGCCTCTTCAGAGTACAGTTGACATTCTCCACTTTCCTCTTGACATCTCGGATCTCTTTTCTCTATTAAGCTTCCAGGAGTATTTTGTTCCTCTTGTTATCTGTGTGGACTAAAGCCAGAACCTGACTTACTGCTGGATGCTGCCGATTGTGGAAATTAAACTTACTAAAAATTTCTTTTCAGATGCATTTCTACATTTATATGCAAAGATATATTAAAAATTCCCATCACAGTGACGATGACTCTACAGTTCAATGGCTCTGACATTTGACGATGGAGATAATTTTACTGTTGCTTCTTGTAAATCGCTGTGCCGGAGCCGCGCGTGAATGTGTACGAACACAAAATGCAGATGTAATGATCCATCACAGAGTAGCAGAGCAGAGAGGAAGAAAAAGTCCTCATATCATCCGGTATAAATCAGACAATTAGTAACAATAATAAAAGTAGCACTTATAATCAAATCAGTGGTGTCTGAGATATTTTTAACGTTCTGGGAGAAAAAAAAAAACACTAGTGATGATGAATCAATATCTGACTGTTGTAACAGTTTTAATAAATTAGGTGATCATGTATACATAATGCAAGCATACTGTATGTGTAAACAGGATAAACACCAGTATATGATTGATGGCTTTAGAGTGACTGGTATCATAATTAAATGCCCTAACGCATCCATCGGTACCAACCATGTCATGCTAGCATGTCAGGAAGGGGGCTAAATAATGCTTCAACATTTGCTAACGCAAACTCACTGTATTACAGAGGTTTTGTGATGTGAGTTTTATTTTTTAGAAACATGAAATTGCCCCTGAAGATCTGGGCCCAGGCGGACATATGCTTTAAATCCACCGGGCCACAGGTCAGTGACATCGCGTCTGCGACCAGGAGCGTTTCAGAAGTGGAGAGTTTTGCCCACCAGGTTTGTTAACTTGCTTAGACATTTTTCTTTGGTTTATGTGTTTTTACCATTAGTAAGTAGTTAAAGTGTTTGGTTTATATCTGTTTTTACAATCAGGGTCTGCAGACAGTGTTTTAATTTGAAAAGTGACCGGATTGTCTATGCTGGCTTCTTGCCAGCTTGATCCACTCACTGCTGCCAGATGTGTTGCAGCCGTGTCCACTGGAATCAAGCACTTACAATATATAGTATAGTTAGAGTAGTTCCATTTGTGTTACCTGCTGGAGGTCCTGGTAAAGCAGGGCCGGTCGTTGACGGAGGGAACGGCTTCGTCCATCAGCGGATACGACTTGATAAACGTCAGCGTCTCGTCTGGGAACTGAACGGACGACTTGTAGTCCACAGCCGGACCGTCGCCTGCACACGTACCAGGCCTGGAGACAAACAGATCAATAAGTAATTCTTAAATGTGTCACACAGGAATTTTTTAGACATTTCTTTAGATAAACCTGATGAGCCAGGATTTGTTTGGTGTCTCACCTTGGTCTTGGAACTTGCTCATCAGGTACCGGAGTCCAGGATAAGTCACTGGTCCGCTGCTCCTTGAACTTCCCGTTGAAGACTTTCTCTATGTCGTCCATGTAGAAAGCACAAACTGCTGAGCCGGGGATACTGCAGAGAGAGACAGAGACAATCCCCATTAACAAGCCAATGACTCGTCATAATGTTCAGAAAGTTCAGAAGACTTTTGTTCATGTGAGGACGAAACTTCCAACCTACACTGAATGAACCAAATGAAACTAAACCAAAACTAAAAAATTCCAAAAGCCTGAAACATTAAAATGAAATGATTTTAGATCCGATGAAAGCTGCAGAATTACACACATCATGTAATCCAGACTGAGTGAAAAGTCATAGAGATAATTCACTGGAAGCACATGGAGAGTTCATACATAAATAAATGAAAATGTCCTCACTTTCTAAAAATGTCCTCACTTTAAGATGTTAGACTCTCATTGGTCCTCACAAAGACAGGAATACACACTCTCTCTCATGTACCTGTTGGCCTGAGTGGTGAAGACTCCGACCACTGCAGGTCTCTGGTTGATCTGCAGCACATTGGTGAGAGACTGAAGGACGTCGAAGTAGAAGAACGAGTCTCCGGGAACCGAACAGTTCAGACGGGCCTGAACAGACACAATAATACAAGGTGTCCTGAAACATGCAGATAACAGACTTCAACAGCTTCACACTGTGAAGTTCGGCTCCAGTGTGAGTTCACTTCAGTCTTTTATTGATTTCATTCAAGAACACGCTGAGAATCAGAGGGTGACATCACCTTGAGGAAAGAAGTCCAGTATCTCTCCAGAACTCTAGGAGAACCTCCGTTATCGTTCTTACAAACCCGGGCGACTCGAGAAAACACCACCTAGACAGAGAGAGAGACAGAAGGGTTTACGGGACTATTTACAGCAGGCTATAATGTTAATAACTCTTATTAATGTCTTGTAACTGGGACTGCACTCAAAGGGAGCCAAAATTTATCTCAATGGTTCCAACAATGGGAACCTTCAGGTGTTTCCAAAAAGTTAGGGTTTGATAAGTAAAATTATAATAGTTTTAAAATATGAACTGGAAAGTCAGTTTGTTTATTTAGTTGGAACGTATAAAGAACAAAGTGAGAATGAAGAAACTAAAAAGTTTCGTTTTGTTTAGGATTAAGTGGCATATGTAGTGGTGAAGTTGTAAATTGCAATCAACTGAATACAACTCAGCCTTCTGAGTATGTACAAGAAACTACGGTGGCCGGGAAACAAAGAAGAAATGGCAGTTCAACATGGTGGACTCCGTAGAAGAGGACTAGCTCCCTCTTTACACTAATAAAAACCAACCTAAGTGTGGAAATCTGGGCCAACCAGACTAAGACCTTCCCGTTATAAAACGCCTCTAATCATGATGCACAGCCAATCAGAACTGAGTTACTTCACGGCCATTAATTGATGTATAATATTGATCCTCACAGTTTTAGTTGTCCAGAGTCGGGATGGAGTTTCAACCACCTCTTCCCATTACACACACAGACGTACCTTGCCCAGGGCGGTGTACTCCACTGCGATCTCACTTAAGAAGAAGTAGACGTAGTTACCATAGTCGATGGCGTGCAGGAAGTGAGGCTCTGCAGAGAGGAGGGGAGGTGATTATTGATCTCTTCCATTTTCAAGGTAAAACTCTCCTCATATCTTCTTTCAATGTAACACCTCACCATCAGTATGTCATGTTCAACACGTTCCAGCAGTTATCGGGTGATAAAATGCTGTTATTTTTCACAGACGCTTTACCTTTACCTCCCAGGATGCCGTTCAAAATCCCACAGAGAGGAAACACGACTGATGAGCCCCATCAAACTGGGGCCTTTCACAGGACCGATTTGTGAGCAACGATTCGAAACAGATTGCAAATGGAGGCTGTATCACTTTTTAAAATTGACTGACGTTTGGAAATTGCAGATAAATGTGCGAGTCCTCATGTACGGGTTGCAAGATAGGTTGAAACAAGCTTCCATGTTCCATTTCATAAAGAAAGGACACTTTTATTTTAGCATGCATCATTGTCCATAAAATGTAAAAAGACCACAAGCCACCAGAGACTTAACATGTCTCCTTACAACCCGTCATGTACTGTTGCTTGGTCAGTGGCCCTCTGCTTCAAAATATAACGCTGAGTATCCCCTAGCATTATTTATGGATGTGGCTGCTGTCAAAGTCAACTGACATAGTATAAAGAGTGAAAAAGGCTGTTTGGTGGATGCATGGCTCAAACAAAACAAAACAATTGCGGGACTTTAACCCAGGCGACTGCTGTTGGTGCCCCGTGTGAGACCAAAGCTCTGTCCTTTCCACTACCTAGCCTCTCATTCGCTGTACCTACAGCGTTATATATTGAAGCGTAGGGCCACGTGTACTGAAGTTTATCATGACATAGAGCAAAGAAAAGCTCTACCTTCATCAGTAAATTTCATGGATGGAGTTGCTATGAAGGTAGCTGTCGTGGATGTTACTGGCACAAAACGTCAGAGTTGACTTAGCTTTCATTACTCAGGTCAAGTCTTTAGGCAATCAAGGCTCAAGTATGTGATGTCACATATATGTCAGTGTGGTTGAAAAGTTTTGGAAAACAACAAGTAAGTTAAGTCTTGTAGTAAGAAATGTTTTCATCAAGTTGTCAACCCTCAGGCTCAAACAGTGTGACCTACCTCTGAGCCACTTGGAGTCGTACTTCACGGTCCTAAGGACGGGTCGCCCATCTCCCAGACTCCTGTAGATGACGGCGTCGCTGGCCAGGAAATCCGTCATGGTGGCCGAGTAAAAATCTCCACCTGAGAAAGAGACACATGTTTATAAACCTTTATACATGTCCATTTTCGTACAAACTACTTTGGTCTGTTATTGAGTCATAAATGTATTTGTTCCTAGTAGTCCAAAGTAAGTTATTTTTAGGCATTTCACTACTTATATTTTAAATGCTTTAGAAAAAAAGGTTGAAGTCCGGACCTCAGTGAGGATACTCGTGTACAGAAGTGCGCGGTACTCAATACCGGTGAGTACGGGCCCATTTTGGGAACTGGGTGTATGTATAATGGATGGATTTGTAGTTTTACTGTAATCATTGTCGTAGATTTGAACCGGCCCTTGTGATTTGTCAATCTATCAAGACTTATTTATCTTTTGTTTTCTTTCCAGATTTACATAGTTGTCTGTGTTGTTTGGTTAAATTGATCTATCAAATGTAAATTTTTCCCTATTTCATTATACTTGCATTGAACAGAGTGTGTGACTATGATAACTAAGCATATCACTGCAGGCTGAACTGTGAATAATTGCGTATTTTATGAATAAATTGTTCAATCTCACAAATTATTCACATCAATAAATATCACAATATGTCTGGAGCTGCATAAAAGAGCAGATACCTATTTAATTAGATTAATTGAACGCAGTCATTAGTTTTATGTGACTTTTTGATGATTTTAAAGTCACTTTTGACTCACCAGCAAACAGTCCAACGTTGGACTGACCAGACTCGAAGGGACAGCGAGCTTGACCGACCACCTCCTCCCCGACCTGCTCCAAGGAGGTCATCTGAGGCCAGGAAGAGGAAACACATTAAACATTTCTTATATTTTCTAACAAAACACAAAATATGGAGTTTTAAAAGCTTCCACTACCTCCTTTATAAAGTCAGTGAGTTCTAGTTTGATAAATTGTGGATAATGTGTGCTAATATTATTCACGGCACGTCAGCAGGGAGGATAATAATGCTGCTAATCAGTTGGTGTCAGTCAGCAGGAACTCGCTGCATGTTACTGTACCGGAGCTAATAATACACTGATAGATCTGCTGACAGCTCAGCTGATAATGCGCTGATGATGTGATCTGATGAGTATCTGATCAGGTCTGAAATAAAAAGTCACAGTCTGACCTCGTTTACCTTTTGTCTGATGCAAATCTCAGACCGAAATAAAGAGAGTTGCTTTTTGTTCTATTTGTTGTCACCAAACTTCTCTCTTTCACATCAAACACACAATTTAGACACATATTAGATAAACAAAAGAACACACACTTTCTCAAAGACAGACAGATAAAATAGTACAGGGATGGATCATTTTCTAGGCTAAATAATAAAATGATTACCAACTTTAAGCTAACGGTGACATTGCTGTCAGCGATAGCTTAGAGTTAAATGTTATGGACACATTTTAGAATAACTGATAGCTTTTAGGTGAATAAAAAAGGGTAAAAGTTTCTGAAGATTTGGAGGTAAAACTATTTATTGATTTGTAATGCAACATTTAGATATTTATATTCAGTGTTTTACTCATGTGTCACAATAAAATAATTGATGTTGACGTCTGGATCTTAAGTTATTGGAGAAATAAGCTGAGCTAACATTAGCAGCAGCTCAACTCACTACATTAGCACGATATCATAACCTGTTAGCTTTAGTCTAAGTAGCTGTTAACCAGTTTTAACCAGCATTTTTACCATCCACTGTTTAGAACTTGGTGCTTTT